GCACCCTTGGCCACACTCCCCCTCTTCGATCTAGCCAGCACGTCATCCCTGATCAGGCTTTCCCTGGTTAGCTCCCCCGGCACTGCCCTACCTAAGTTAGCACCCCGACCACTCTCTCCTACGGCCCCAGCCAGCACCACGATCACTCTCCTTCCTTTTTCCAAGCTCTCACTATACAATAACAAAAACATTCTCTACATGGAAGCAAACCTCATTAGCACTTCTTCTTGGCAAACTGTCTTTCAGACCAAATATAGTTTGATAAGGGGTGTTAAATTGTAGCCAACAAATTTTGACCATTTTTTGTCGTTCCAACTCATTTGAAAATAATTTTGTGGAGTTAAAATTAATAATTTAATGAACCGTGACCCATGGTTTTTAATCATGTTTAGTCGTTCCGACCTATTGGCAAATACTTTCACAGAGGCTAAAATTCACAATTTGATGAATTATAATTGATGATTTTTGATAATTTTTAGGTGTTTTGAGCCATTTGGCAAGTAATTGTATACTATGAAGGTTGAAATTCACGATTCATGAGCTATAATCCATGATTTTGGTCATTCTAATTATTTTTACCCATTGATAAATAGTTTCATAGAGTCTAAAATTCACAACTTCATGAACTATAACCCATGAGGTTTGGCTACTTTTAGCCGTTTTGATCCATTGACAAATAATTTCATGGTAAAATTTACGATTTTCTGAGTTATAATTCATGATTTGTGGCAGTTTCATTCGTTATGAGCCATTAGCAAATAAAGAGATCAATTTTCATGATTTCATGAGCTATAATTCATTATGTTTGACCCATTTTAGTTGTTCCAAATTAGTGGGAAATAATTTCATGAAGACCAAAGTTTATGATTTTATGAGCTACAACCTACGATTTCTGGGTATTTTTAGTCATTTTGAACCATTAATAAATAATTTCACTAAGGCTAAAATTCACAATTTCAGGAGATATATATAACATATTTCTTGTCATTTTTAATCACTCCGACCCATGATATATACTTCACAGTAGCCAAAATTTAGGATTTCATGAGATATAACCTACAATTTTGACCATTTTTAGTCATTCTAAGCGATTGATAAATAATTTCACGTAGGCAAAAATTAATAATTTTATGAGCTATAACGTATGATTTGTGACCATTTTTAGTCATTCATAGCCATTAGAAAACAATTTCACAGAAGACAAAATTCACATTTCATGAAATGTAACCCATGATTTTTGCTATTTTCATCATTTCGATCAATTGAAAAATAATTTAATGGATTTCAAAATTTAGGATTTCATGAGCAATAACACATGATTTTTGCCCATTTTTAGTCATTCCGATCGATTGACAAATAATTTTACGAAGCCCTAAATTCATGATTTCATAAAATATGACTCATAATTTCTGGCCATTTTCAATCATTTCTATCTATTGACAAATAGGTTTTTAGAGTCTAAAGTTCACAATTTAACGAGCTATAACTCATAATTTCTGGACAGTTTTAGTCGATTCCACTTGTAAGAAAATAATTTCGTCGAGTCCAAAGTTTAGGATTTCATGAGTTGTAACACATGATTTTTAGCCATTTTTAATTATTTTGATTGATTGATAAATAATTTCGCAAAGCCCTAAATTCATAATTTCATGAGCTATGAGTTATAATTTATACCCATTTTGAGTTATTTCCTTCGACTAGCTAGCAAATAATTTTTTGGAGTCTAAAATTCATAATTTTGTGAGCTATAACTCATGATTTTTATCATTTTTAGTCTATTCTACTTATAAGAAAATAATTTCACAGAATATAAAATTTAGGATTTCATGAGCTATAACTGATTTGTGTTAAGTTTTAGTTATTTCTGCCCATTGGAAACTTGTTTCATGGAGCTCATTTCATGAGCCATTACTCACAATTGTTTTCTTTTTTAATCATTCTAATCCATTAGAAAATAACTTCGCAGAGGCCAAACTCATAATTTCATGAGCTATAACGCATGATTTCTAGCCATTTTAGTTGTTCTGATCTATCAGCAGATATTTCACAGAGGCCAATGCATGATTTCTGGCCATTTTACCTGTTCTGAGCTATCAGCAATTATTTCACAAAGGCCAAAATTAATGATTCTAAAACTATGGCAAAATTTTATTTTTCTACCCATTAGAAAGTAATTTAATAAAGTACAATTTTTATGATTTCGTAAGCTATAATTCGTGATTTTTTAGTTATTTTTAGTCATTCGGACCCAACATAAAATAATTTCGCAAAGACCCAAATTTATAATTTCATGAGTTATAACTGATAGTTTTTAGCCATTATTAGTCACTTTTATCTATTAGCAAAAAATTTAAATATGCAAAAGTTCATGATTTCATGAGCTATAATCCATTGGTTTTGACCATTTTAGTCATTTCTATCTATTGGTAAATAATTTTACAGAGTCTAAAATTTAGGATTTCATGAGCTAAAGAACATGATTTTTGGCCATTTTTAGTTATTTCTACTCAATAGAAATTAATTTTGTAGATTTTAAAAATTGCGATTTCATGAGTTATAACCCATGATTTTTTTTCATTTTAGTCGTTTAGACCCATGACATATAATTTTTGCAAGAACCAATATTTAGGATTTTATGAGCTATAACCTACAATTTTTTACTATTTTTAGTCATTTTGAGCCATTGGCAAATAATTTCACGTAGGAAAAATTTATGATTTTATCAGCTATAACCACGATTTGTGGCCATTTTAGTGGTTTTGGCCCATTGAAAAATTATTTCGCGTAGACCATAATTCATGATGTTATAACCCATAATATTTTGCCATTTTAATTATTCCTCCCCATAGGCTAATAATTTTGCGAAGCCCAAAATTCATGTTTTCATGAGCTATAACACATGATCTGTTGACATTTTTAGTCATTTCTACCAATTAGAAAATAATTTCATAGTGTCCAAAATTCAATATTTTATGTATAATAACCCATGAGTTTTAGCCATTTTTAGATGTCCTGGCTTGCTTGAAAAAACTTTTGTAGAGTCCACAACTGAAAATTTTACAGTTTATAACTCATATTTTTTGACTATTTTAGTCATTGAGCCTAAAGTTCAAGATTTCATGAGCAATAATACATACTTAGTAGCCATTATTTTTGTTTCCTTCCCATTGATAAATAATCTCGTTGTGTTCAAAATTCATGATTTTATGAGCGGTAATTCATAATTTTTGGTTATTTTTAGTTATTATGACTCATGGAAAATAATTTTGAAGCGATCAAAATTGAAATATCATGAGCTATAACCTATAAGTTGAGGAACTTTTCAGATATTCGGAGTCATTAGCAAATAATTTCATAAAAGCTAAAAATTATAATTTCATGAGATATAATCTATGATTTATGGCCATGTTTTTTTTGCTCTGATCCATTAGTAAATAATTTCATGGAGGCCAAAGTTTTTATTTCATGATCTGCAACCCCATGATTTGTAACCATTTTTTACCATTTTGAGCCATTGATAAATAATTTTTTAATTGCCACTATTTAGGATACCATGACATATAATCCACTATATTTGGCAATTTTTATTTATTTTTACTAATAAAAAATAATTTGATGAAGTCCAGGATTTTTTTACCATATTCAATCATCCCAATCTGTTGACAAATAATTTCATGAAGTCTAAAATTCATAAATGTACGAGCTATGACTCATTGGCTAGTTTTGCAAAGTCTAAAATTTAGATGTTCATGAGTTATAACCCATAATGAAAATAATTCCACAAAGTTTAAAATTTATATTTCATGAGCTATAATCTGCAACTTTTGATCATTTTTAATCATTCTGGCCCACCAAAAATTAATTTTATGGTAGCCAAAATTTACAATTTTGTGAGTTGTAACCCACTAACAATTATGAGTTATTATCAAATAATTGCATGGAGTCCAAATTTTATAATTTCATAAGATATAACCCATGATTTTTTGACCATTCTTAGTCATTTTGACTCATCGAGAAATAATCTTATGAATGCCAAAATTTATGATTTTATGAACTATAACTCACAATTTTTGACTTTAATCATTTTAAGCCATTGGCTAATAATTTTGCAGCCTCCAAAATTTACAATTTCAAGAGCCATAACTCACGATATTTGGACACACACACACACACACACACACATACATATAGTCCTTTCTGCTCATTGACAAATAATTT